TTTCCAACTGACATGCCCGCTCCAACCCCTCTGACCATTTACCTGGGTCTTGGCCACATTCTGGGACCTGGAAGGAGAAGGAGAGCAGAGGGAGAGAGCCAGGAGTGGGCAGGGATGGCATGTTGCCTGGCCACAGAGGGCAGTCCTGGGAAGCAGGTCCCCCTGATGTAGAGAGGAGCGCAGAGCTGTTAGAAGATGCTTTAGAGCCACTCCAAGAAGCTGCGTGTGCTGCCTCCACACACTGGCATCCTCCCTCCACGTGGGCCCATCACCCTGGTCACTTCCATTTACATCAGCTGTGGCTCATTTTCCTGCGCCTGGAAACAATCTGTACTCTGCCTGTTCACGTACTCTTATTCTCGGTGTTATTATTTGCAGCTCACATGACTTTATACATAGAAAGTCCACAAGAATCTTCCAAAAAATATTAGAAGTAATAATAGAATTGAGAAGGTCATTGGATACAAGGTCAATATGCAAAGATCAATAATATTTCTATAACCTGCAGTAAGCAATTAGAAAAAGAAGTTTTAAAATATCATTTCTAAAAATATTTTAAAAAACCAAATACCTAGAAATATATCTAACGAAAAATGTGCAAAATTCTCTACATTGAAGGCTAGAAAGATTGCTTATACAAACAGCCATGCTTTACAAACTTTCAGAAGGCATAGCAGGAGCACTTCTCAGCTAATTCTCTGAGGTCAATATTATCCTGATACCGAAGCCAGACAAAGAGATCACAGGAAAAGAAAATCACAGACCAATATCCTTTGTGAATATAGTTGCAAAAATTCTCAAAAAAGTATTAGCAAAGTGAATCCAGCAACATGTAAAAAGGATTAAACGCTACGACCATGTGAGATTTATCCCAAGACTGCAAGGTTTGTTTAACTTCCAAAAGATCAATTAATGTAATACAAAATATTAATAGAAACAAGGACAAAGCTGCATGATCATAGATGCAGAAACAAATATTTGAAAAATTCAACACTCATTCAGGATAACAATTTTCAACCAACTAGGAATAGAAAAGAAATTCCCTAACCTGATAAAGGGCACTTACGATAAACCCAAAGCTAACGGCATAGTTAATGGTAAAAGACTAAATACTTTCCTCCTGAGATCAGGAAAAGCACAATGATATCAGCTCTAGCTACTTCTTTTCAACATTATACTGAAGTTCTAGACAGTGTAATCAGGAAAGAAAAGAAATAAAATGCATACAGATTGGGAAGAAAGAAGTAAATAAAACAGTCTTTATTCACAGACAACATGATATTGTAATAGAAAATTCTAAGGAACGAACACACACACACAAACTGCTAGAACTAATAAATGAACTCATCAGGGTCACAGGATACAAGATCAATATGCAAAAATCAGTTATATTTCTATAAATTAGCAATGAACAATCTGAAAATGAACTTCAGAAAGCAATTCCATTCACAATAGCATAAAAAGAATAAATTACCTAGGAGTCAATTTAAGAGAAGAAGTGCCAGGCTTGTATACTGAAAATTATAAAAAACTGTTGAAAGGAAAAGAAGACATAAATAAGTGAAGAGGCATTCCATATTCATGGATTGGAAGAATCGATAGTATTAAGGTGGAAATTCTCTCCAGATTGATCTGTAGATTCAATGCAAACCCCATCAAAATCCCAGCTGGCTGTTTCCCAGAAATTGAAAAGCTGATCTTAAAAATTCATTTGGAAATGCAAAGGTGGCAGAATAGCCAAAACAATTTTGGACAAGAAGAAGGAAGTTAGAGTACTTAAACTTCCAGACTTTGAATCTTAGGATAAAGCGACAGTAATAAAGACAGTGTGGTACTGGCATAGGATAGACTTAGTGGTTGACAGAACATAATTGTGAGTATGGAAATAAACACTTCCATTTATGGTCAATTAATTTTCAACCAATTCAGTAGGAGAAAGGATAATCTTTTCAACAAATGGTGCTGAGACAATTGGATATCCATAGGCAAAAAGATGAATTTAGACATTTTCTTTACATCATATACAAAAGTTAACTGAAAATGGACGATAGACCTAAATATAAGAGCTAAAACGGTAAAAGTCTTAGAAGAAGACATATGTGTAAATCTTTGTGACCTCGTGTTAGGCAAATATTTCTTAGATGTGACACTAAAAGCATGATCCATAAAAGAACAAAATCTGTAAATTGGACTAATCAGAATTTAAAACTTTTGTGCTTCAGAAGATACAATTAAAGACAGACTGAGAGAAAATATATGTAAATTATATATCTGGTAAAGGACTTGTATCTAGAATATATGAGAACCCTTAGGACTCAATAAGAAGACAACCTGATTTTTTAAATGGGCAAGAGATTTTAATAGACATTTCACCAAAGAATACATAGGAGTGGCCAAATAGCACATGAAAAGATGCTCAACGTCATTCGTCATCAGGGAAATGCAAATCAAAACCACAATGAGATATATCACTTCACACCCTCCAGGATGGCTACTATCAGAAAGACAGACGGCAGTAAGTGTTGGCGAGATTGTGGAGATGGAACTCGTACACTGCAGGTGGGGATGGAAAATGGTGCAACTGCTGTGGAAAACAACATAGTAGTTTCTTAAAAATTTCAGTGGAAATTTACCACATGACCCAGCAGTTCCACTCCTAGGTATCTGTGCAAGAGAAATAGAAACAGGTGTCCACACAAAGGCTTGTGTGCAAGAGTCCATAGTAACATTCTTCATAATTTCTAAACTGGAAACAATCAAAATGTTCATCAGCTTATGACAAGGTAAACAAAATGTGCCCTATCATACAGTGGAATAGTAATATCAGGAATAAAGAGGAACAAAATACCGATCCACGCAGCACGTGGATGGATCTCAGAACCATTACAGTAGGTGATAGAAGCCAGACGGAAGGTGCATACGAGGCATACACTGTATGATTCTGTTTACATGAAATATCCAGAAAAAAGCGAATGCAGAGAGTTAGAAAGTAGATTCGTTGCCTTAGGATAGAGATGGAAATGGAGAACGAGTACAAATGGGCACAAGGTTTCTTCGGGGTGATGAAAATATTCTGGAATTAGATAGTGGTGATCGTTGATAAATTTACTGAAAATTATAAATATTAGTTGTCAGTGATTCCCATTTGGACGTTAAACAATTGTCACTCCCAAACCAAAAAGTGCCCTGCACATATCCTCTAAATTACTTAATTTTCTCCAAGAGGACCTTATATCCTTTTCAGATCTTGGACCCCAAAGTCATAGTTGACATTTATACATGGCTTTATTACTTCACAAGTCTTTGGTCACACTGGTATTCACAATATCTCCCTATGAAGAGGTAGGGTTCTTTATTTCCCCTGCTTTTCCAGTAAACAGTTTCTCTCAGTTTTTTTTTTTTTTTTTAAATAATTAATTAATTTTGGGCTGTGTTGGGTCCTCGTTTCTGTGCGAGGGCTTTCTCTAGTTGCGGTGAGCAGGGACCAGTCTTCATCGCGGTGCGCGGGCCTCTCACTATGGCGGCCTCTCTTGTTGCGGAGCACAGGCTCCAGATGCGCAGGCTCAGTAGTTGTGGCTCACGGGCCCAGTCGCTCCGTGGCATGTGGGATCTTCCCAGACCAGGGCTCGAACCCGTGTCCCCTGCATTGGCAGGCAGATTCTCAACCACTGCGCCACCAGGGAAGCCCATTTTCTCTCAGTTTTGATATTCAATTTACTTATTGGTAATTTTTTATTCTGGGGGAAGAAATTTGCCTCACGGTATTTTGCTCATAATGTTTTCTTTATGCAGCATGGCTGAAATTTTTTCTAAGTAATTGTACATTTATGTAAGTGATGAGGTTGGTGGTAGTGAAAAGGCGGAGGGAGGCCTTTCTGGTTTTACTGCCCATTGTACCCACAGGCATAGCCCAGTGCCAGCAGCACTCACAAAGCAGTTTGTTGAGTGAATGTTAATATAAACAAGTGAATTAGAAACGTTAGAAGGAAGAGATATGCAAATAGAAGAAACTTAAGATCACTGCTAATTCTAACATTGAGGAATTGTGTTACATTGTTACTCACTCTTATACTTTGTTGCATATTCTTCCAAACCTTTATACCTACACAGGCATATGATTTTTTGCAGCTTTACTGAGGTATAATTGATATATAAAAACTGTACATATGTAATGTATATAATTTGATGAACTGGATATATGTATACTTTCATATATAGTATCTATTTTATTTTAAAATGAGACCATATAATTAGTGACTTTTTAGTTTGTCATTGATTAATGTATTGTTAACCCTTAGTGTCAGTAAAAATTCTGCTATGTAATATTAAAAGATGCAGCGTATTCCCTGCTCTTATAATCTGGTGGTTCATTTTTCTTCCTTTTATAAATTTTGCTGCAAGGAATATTGTATTGCCTCCTTTTTTAAATCATCCTATGATAATTTCTTTAGTATAAATTTCCAGAAATGGAATAAAAATTTTATATATTTTTTTTAATGTTTTAATTATTTTAAAAGTTGAATATATATATGAAGTACAAAATGCAAAAGATGCAGAAGGGAATACAGTGGAAGTGAGTTTTCCCTCTACCTCTGTCCCCAGCCACTCCCCAGAGACAGTCACTGTTACTCTAGAGGCTGTAGATTATCAAATTGTCTGATGTTATCCATTTTCAACACTAGCAGTTTGCTTCCTTTTTTATTTCTGCCATTCTGATAGGCAAAAATGTCATCTCATTATTCTTTCACTTTGCATTTATTTGATTTCTAGGTGATGGATTTTTTCATGTTTCCTGTACTTCTTAAAAATAAGCACAAGTTAAATGTTATTACCCCATTTCCAGATGGGGATTGGGGGTGGGGAGCAAACTCACTTCTCAAGATCTAAAGCTATTGGCTAATAATCAGGGACAAAGCTGCCAATCCAAGTCCACCTGCCTCCAGAGCTCCTACTGCCTTTATGAGTGATTTGTCTGTATATATTTTCTCTTTCCCAATTAGCTAAGCAAAACATCCTCCTGTAAAGACACCAAGGCACCTCTCTTCCTGGCTTGGGATTCGGTAAGTAACGCTTTCCTATGTGGCCCCAAGATGCTACCACCCCAGGTTACAAACGTGCAGCTTGGTAAATACGTTTGTTTTTTCTGTTAGGTGGAAGAAATTGTTCGTGACTCCATTTCCAGGAATCTACAAGTTTTCTATAATATGCTGCGGTCACATGACCTTGGAGACACAGGGCTCATTGGGCGAAATAACTTCAAGAAAATCATGCACGTTTTCTGCCCATTTTTAACAACCGAGCATTTAGTAAAGTAAGTTTTCTGGTAACGAAATTAATTCATGCCGTGTTTTCCATAAAGTCTGTTTTACAGTTTTAAACCTTTTTCTACGTATTTTTTTTTTGCCATGTTAGTAGGTAGTGCTGATAATAGCTCCTATGTATGGAGTCTGTACTGAGCATCGGGCGTTGGTTGAAAGTCTGGCATATATGCTGTCATGCAGTCCTCACCACAAGCGTGTAGGGCAGCTATGACAATTCCTTTCGTGGATAAGGAAATGGAGGCCTGGAGACGTTAAGCACCTCCTTGGCGTCACACAGCTAGTCAATGGAGCCTGGGTTCTACCTCTGGTCTGCATGACTCCTATGCTCTTAATCGTTGTGCCATTTAACCTCCCAGGGTGTCTGGCTATGATCAGCCAGCCCATAAATGGTAACTTGAATTATACTTTTCTTTCGTTTTAGTTTAAAACTAAATTTGTGGTGGATGAGCTGAAGCTGGGGGGCAGGGGTGGGGGGACAGGGATATTAGAGAAAGAAGAGAACGGTGTCCTGAAGGTCCCAGGGGTCCCCTGCCTGGTGTCCCTTTCAGCCTCCACACGGAGGGGCTCACCCCTTGGGGCAGATGACCTTGACAACCTGCAGGCCGAGCCGGCGCTCTGCAGGGGATGACGCCCCCGACACGCCACCTGCCACCCACTTGCTGCTGTCCCAGGACTCAGAGCTGCACGGCCTCAGGGACGGGGGCCGGTGTTTCCCAGCGTGTGGGCAGTGATCTGGGAGATCACTGTGGGTGGAAATCCAGGGGAATCACAGCGATTCTCTCATTCCTTCCAACTGGAACGTTAAAAGTCTTATTTATTGTTTTTCTTTACATTACATTGACTTAAAGTGACCTGAAACATAGTTGATAAAGATTGCTCTGGCTCCGGTGAGGGGAGCAGACATAATGGGGAGAGAGGGAAAGAAGGGGCTTGAAAGGAGGGGGCGGCAGAGGACTGCAGGGGGCGACTGCTTTGGGATAGGTCTGGGCAGTAGAAGGACAGACCTGGTGACTCTGGACCGGGAGGCTGATGGCAGAGGAGGGAAAGGAGTCTGCAATGATGCCAGGGGCTGCTGGCCAGTGAGAGAACAGAGAAGGAGTCAGCCAGTCGGGGTGAAAACACGGGAAAATCTCCAGGAGGCTGTGGGGCTCAGAGAGGAGTCTGGGCCGTGATGAGACTCCAGCGTCCTCACACCGACGGTTGGTTCATTCGTTCAGCAAGCATTTGTCCGGGATGGATGGGGGACCGTCTGAGGTGAGAGGGCTGCAGGTGGGACCTGGCAGAGCACCAGACAACCAGGGCCCTGGCTGGTCCAGCAGCAAAGGAGGCCGAGAAGGTTGGGGCAAGGGGACAGGAAGGGCGGTGCCTGGGGCTAACGGGGCAGGAGGAGGCCAGCCAGGTCGCACGGGAAGCAGGTGGGCTGAGCAGGGGCCAGGGCTGGGAGGGGCGGGAGGACCCCCCAGCAGGTGCCAGGGGTGCTTGTGGAGTGGAGGATGCAGTGCTGAGAAAGGGTTCACCTGCTTCACAGACAGGCTTTGTGCTTGTCTGTGGGCTGGGAGAAGTTAGTGGAAAGCCAGAGGCTGGAGAGAAAAAGTGTTGATAGATGGAGCCAGGCCAGGAAGAGGGGCGGGCATGGGCGCTAACCTAGGAGTCCCGCCCTCCGGACTTCTGTTTCCTCGGTGCAGGGGGAGGTGAGATCATCAGCTGAGGGGAAGGTTGGAGAAGGAATAGGAACCCTGGGAAACTGCAACTTCCAAGGGGCAAGAGAGGGGAACCTCTTGGGGGTCTCTGTTTACTTGTCCATAAAAAGGAAGATGTCGCCCAAACTTTGGGCATTCATGTTCTACCTGAGTACATTTTATTTTCTTTATATCAACTCCTCTTTTTCTGAAGTATATTAATTTTTTTAAAGGCTTTTCTTACCACCATACATGTAAAAACATCCTTACTTGCTATAAAGAGGTTACACTAAGACTGCATTTCATGAAAAAAATATGATTAAATCCTAATGAGATGCCTCTATCTGCCAAGGACCCCGAGCCTGAGACTTGCTGTCGCTTTAAAATATAGGTTAATAAGTAGAAGGAAATACGAACTGCGTTAGATATCACTTGAAGTAAAAGGATTGTAAGTTTGCAAACACGTTAAAAGATAGAGCAGGGAGGTGGAGAAACTGGTCCTCCCATGTGTGCCTTGTGGGCGTGTAAATGATAAAGCTCCTTCGGAAATCAGCTTGATGTAACAAGAACCGCCAGCCCCCCACCCCCACCGATGGCACGTGGAGGTTCAGGGTGCGTTTGGACGGCCAGGGGCGTGCATTGAGGTGGGGTGGGAAGGAAGCGAGGATGAGCCCCAGCTTCCGGCTTGAGCATCTGGGTACTCAGGATTGTCACCTGAGCTGGGGGAGTTTCAGGGCTGACAATCAGAAGTTCCATTTTGGACATGTTAACCTGGAGAGGAGATTGGTGGCACCCCACCACCCAGAGTGACAGGTCACTCTATTCACCTCCTTCTCCACCTCCCCTCCACCCCACCTCCCAGGTACTCTCTACCTGTCACCCGGCTCCAGTTTTCATGGCTCTTGTCATTTGTTGATGTTTATTGCCTGTGCCACCCACCAAGGATGTAAAGCTCAGGGACTTTGTCTCTTCACTCCCAAAGTCCCAGTACCTAGCAGTGGAACCGTACCCAGCTCGTGGACAGGGCGTCTTAATGTCAAGCGACGGAATGAATGAATGAATGAATGAGTGAACTTAAGTGAATTGGTTGTGTGGGCAATTGGGTATTTGAGATGGAAGCCCCCATATTCTCTTCTCCATTACGTAGCCAGTCTTTGTCTAAACTGCAAAGACGATCACGTTAAAACCCTGCTTGAAGCATTTGGGTGTCCTCTTGCCATTAGGGAAATACCAGATGCTTTAACAGAGCGTGGCTTCCCAGCCCGCCAGGATCCTCAAACCTCTCCAGAGAGGCTTCCCTGGTGCCTCAGTGGTTAAGAATCCGCCTGCCAATGCAGGGGACACGGGTTCGAGACCTGGTCCAGGAAGATCCCACATGCTGTGGAGCAACTAAAGCCGTGTACCGCAACTGCTGAGCCCACGTGCCAGAACTACTGAGCCTGAGTGCCACAACTACTGAAGCCCGCACGCCTAGAGCCCGTGCTCTGCAACATGAGAAGCCACCACAATGAGAAGCGCACGCACCGCAACAAAGAGTAGCCCCCACTCGCCGCAACTAGAGAAAGCTCGCATGCAGCGACGAAGACCCAACGCAGCCAAAAGTAAATAAATAAAATTAATTAATTAATTAAAAAAAGAAAAAAGCCTCCCCAGAGCTCGCGCTCTGCAGCCAGACTGCCTGGGTTCAAACCCCAGCTCGGCCCGAGCTAGCTGTGAACTCGGGCAAGTCCTGAGCCTCTTCCCTCCTGCAAATGTTGCTTAGAGAGTTGTGGTCAGGACCAAATGAGGTAATAGGCATGAAGCCTCTCAGCCAGTCTCAAGCCCGTGGGAAGCTCTCGTGTGCGGCGGCTGTTCCTGCAGGTCCCAGCTCAGCTGGGCTGACTGGCTTCCTATTTCCTGAGAACACCAGGCTCTCTGTTGCCTCTGGGCTTTTCGGTGATCTGTTCCCTCGGTTCAGAATGAGCGTTTTCCCAGCCTCTTGCAGCTCCATGAGGCAGGCATTGCTTTGGTTTTCTCACAGTTGTGGCTGTAATACTTAACACAGTGCTCATCACAGAGTATTACTGAAGCAATTTTAACAATTGCTGGCACTTACTGAGTAAAGCGTAGTTTGGAGCTCATGCTCTGACCGCTGGCTACATGCATGTCATCATGATATTGTGATCCTGGCATCCCAGCTGTGGTTTATTGAGCACAGATACATGCAGCCGGCCAGCCCAGTGCTAACAGCTTTACGTGGATCCTCTTATGGAAGTTTTACAGTACAGTAATCCTCTGAGGTGGGGACTTTCATTATGTGCATTTTATAGACAAGGAGACTGAAGCATAGAAAGGGTCACGTGTCCCAGGTCAGAGCTGCTCGACCCTTTGATGCTCCTAAAAGTTATCGAGGACCTCAAAGGGTTTCTGTTGTATGAAGTGTGTCTGCCAGTACTTACTGTATGAGAAGCGAAAGCTGAGGCATTTAACCTGTCATTGCAGAAAATGAGAGTGCACTTACTACTTGTGTTCCCCTGTAGGCTCAGGAAAAACTTCGGGATTTCAAAATAAGGATTTATTGGATAATAAAGAGGTTGCAGAAATTAGAGCAGGGATAAACAACACGAGCTTATAAGGAGCTAGTAAAGTGCTGTAAAGAAGCTGATCTGATAAAGACGCAGGCCTCCTAGAGCACGGACTTGAGGACACGGGGAGGGGGAAGGGTAAGCCGGGACGAGGCGAGAGGGTGGCATGGACACATACACACTACCAAGCGTAAGACAGATAGCTAGTGGGAAGCAGCCGCATAGCACAGGGAGATCAGCTTGGTGCTTTGTGACCACCTGGAGGGGTGGGATAGGGAGGGTGGGGGGGAGGGAGATGCAGGAGGGAGGAGATATGGGAACATATGTATAACTGATTCACTTTGTTATAAAGCAGAAACTGACACACCATTGTAAAGCAACTGTACTCCAATAAAGATGTAAAAAAAAAAAAAAAAAAACTGAGCTGAGCTCTGAAAGCTCACTCCAGCTCCTCATGGAAACCCTACACGCTTCTGCAGCTTCAGACCATGTTAGTGAGCGCAGCCCACACGAGCACACACTCCACCAGCGGTCGGAGCAAGGAATGATCACATGCCTTGCAGCCTCTGGAAGGTCCGCTGTACACGCACCAGAGACTCAGGGCGGAAGAGACAAATGACAGCGTGTATTCATGTGAAAAGAGTCGTGGCCTCACTGTGCCGGGGAAGTGTCCGCGGACCAGACCTCGTGAATCGCGCCTTCAGTCATGGAGCCGATATCCAGACCCCGGGAGGCAGAATCCAGGGCTCACGCCCACACCTACTGTGCTCTAAGCCTTGTGCATTTTAACGGATCTGTGGAATTTTTTCTTGGGTCTCAGCCTTTACCAAGTTTGCAACAATGAGCACGTACAACGTTTATGATTAGAAAAATATTAACAAACAAAATGTTGGAAAAGAAAAAGATCCTGCCATATTAGTGGTTTCCTATGTTTTTCTCAAATATTTGCATATCCCCAAATTCCAATAAAGTACTTCCATAATTCCATACCAAATTTCTCACGAAATTTTTTCTTTATTTTACATTTATTATATCTTTATTGCAGTATTCTTACAGACAATAAACTACTCATATTTAAATAATATAATTTGAGGAAATCCATCATGTGTATATATCTCTGTGAACCCATCACACGCTGTCAATCCAGATACCGAACTTTTTCATTCCCCCTGAAGCTTTCTTGTGCCCTTTTGCAATTCATCTCTTCCACCCACCTAGCACCATGTCACTACAGATGACTTTGCATCTTCTAGGATCTTCTATAAATGGAAGGCTACAAGATGTTCTCTTTTTTTGTTAGGCCTTATTCACCAAGCGTAATGATTTTGTGGTTCACTCACGTTGTTGTGTGGTTCTTGGTCGTTGCCGAGTAGAATTCTGTTTCATGGCCTTACCCCACTTTGTGGATCCATTCACCTGTTGATGGACATTTGGTTTGTTACCAGTTTTTGCTATTACAGATAAAGCCACATGTATTACACGTCTCTGTGTAGACGTACGTTTTTATTCTTTCGGCTAAGCGCCTAGGGCTGGAACAGCTGGTTCCTCTGGTAAGTGGCTATTCAGTTGCCAAAGCATCTTCCAAAGTGGCTGCAGCATTTTGCATCCCACCAGCAGTGGGGGAGGGTCATAGTGACCCTCAACCTTTGTGGCACTTGGTAGGGTCAGTCTTCTTTTCCCCATTCTAATGGGTGTGTTCTAATTAGTTTTGAAATTCAGACTCTGCAATAAGTTTCAGGATATTGCTTCAGGAAGAATCCTTTACAAGAAACTTTTGGCATGCCTAGGAATTAATGGCCCACCCACTGTCTCTCCAGTTCCTGTTCCAAAGGATCAGCTGTTAAATGAACATCTTCAAAAAGGGGAGCGGCAGCAGCCAGATCTTTCTGAGACGTAAAATAAAGCAAAATGAAAGCGTTCATTAAAACCACTGTGCCAGGATTCCCTGGTGGCACAGTGGTTGGGAGTCTGCCTGCCGATGCAGGGGACGCGGGTTCGTGTCCCGGTCCGGGAAGATCCCACATGCCGCGGAGCGGCTGGGCCCGTGAGCCATGGCCGCTGAGCCTGCGCGTCCGGAGCCTGTGCTCTGCAACGGGAGAGGCCACAGCAGTGAGAGGCCCATGTACCACAAAAAAAACCAAAACAAACAAACAAAACCCCACTGTGCCTATTGCAGTGTAGATAGTTAATAAATATTTGTTGACTGAGTATTTAAATATTTTATGATCTAAATAAGAAAGATGGCAAACTGTAAAAACAGTGATTAAAGTCAGGGAGTTTTAGAGCAAGCAGCAGAGATCTTAGGAATTACTGCATTGACCTATTAATTCTAGAATTGAAAGCACTGAGACCTAAGAGATTTGGGGACTTACCTCGGGTTATTCACAAGCATGGTGCTCATCCTGCGGGAAGGACCCGGGACTTTCAACTCCCAGAGAACCCGCCTGCCTCTCAACTATTACGTACCTGCGTTCACACTTATTCTTCTCCAGAAACTTAGATTCCTTACCACTGTTAAATATTTATTGCAAAATATACTCGTTAAACTGGTTAACATTTTCTAACATGAATGATAGAATTATTTAAATGATTGCCAAACTGAATTGTAACAAAAAACATACTTAGTAAATCTATTAAAAGTCAGACTGATGAATATTCGAGCTCTTCTTCATTTTGAAAAATATAGGTTTCATCTAATGAAAAGATATTATTTTAACTTGCTTGTTCATAGCTTATAAAAAATCCATAAGGAGAGGTACAATGTAGAACTATTCAGCCAGCTTCACGTTGTCATATCCCCTTTAAAAACTTCTTAAGTGTAGAGCACTGGGAATATTTTAATGCTATGCTAATGAAATTTGAGTATCTGGGCACTTCAGTAGTACCTGCTTTATGAATGGGCAGAAAGATGGTATTTTAAGAGAAAGGTTAAATATTCTCTGATGAGATATGTCTGCCTCCTAAAAACCAGTGAAAGAAGTAATAGCAATTAAGCATTTCATAAAATGTGGGCATTCCTGGAGAGCTCCTAAAGCCGACAGAAGCAGCAGGAAAGGAGTAGAACTCTGTTCTCCAGGACTATCTCATGGTTGTCAAAACGGGGTCCAGGAGACTTCTGGAGAGCTGAAGAATAATTATCCTTCGATGACACGTACATTCTCATGCTCAGACCCAGAGCACATCACGTAAGATCTGTCTTTTATAAATTAAGTTGATTTTGTGAATCAGCTTGGTTTAACTGTGGACGTCCCTTCCTTCCCACGGCTGTTTGATGGCCTCTTTGATCTAGTTACCACAAAACAGCCTATTTAATGTAAGGCCTATAATAGGCTCTGACTTTTCATTTTCCCAGTTCACAAAAATATCTTTTTTCGGCCATGTCTTCCCAGTCACACACCACATTCAGCCAGCTCAAAGCACAGCTGAAAATCTTAGCACAAGGATGACAGCAGCCCCTTCTCTGAAGCTCCCCACCCTGGCCTGCTGCCACGTGCTGGCATCTCAGGCAGAGCTTTACCTGACACAGTGCTGCTGGCCTGTCTCTGAACGTGCAAGCCATGGGTGTGTAAGAAGTCCCCAGGTCACTCCATCGACCTCAGCATCTCTTTCCTCCTTTGTGAAAAGGGGATGGTAAACCCCCTTGTTGTCCTGGGTTGAAGCGTACATGGGTGAGGTCTACAGGAAGTGTGTTGCTGCATCTGTTGCCTGCTTGTGATTTTAGAGCCAAGCCCACTGAGAGTAAAAGTGCTGTGACCGAGAATATGACGAAGGATGTGCTTATTGAAAAACTCAAAAACTGTATACGGCAGCCGTACCCAGCATTCAGAGAACGATTTCTGGACTTCAGCAAGGAGCCTGATGGCAAGATGAATGTGCATGACTTCAAGAAGGTAGGAGAATGGGTTTCTTTGTGTTTCTATGTTTCCTCCTTTCCTGAAGAAGTTCAGCCGTTTTCTTATACGAACATGCTTTAAAGGATAGACATTAAGTGTTTTCATTAAGGCTTTATTCCAGGGCAAAGCAGATTCATTTCTAGGTATCTTTCAACAATTGAAAAGGATTCTTCTGGCCAAAAATGTCTTTGGCAACTTTCTCAGAGCATGCTTTTGTTGTGGATGTGGCCGGCTTTTGACAGTTAAACTTTCCAAGCGCAGCGTTCACTGTTGCATTCTTTGGCCATCCGCTGAGTACCTGTCTCCCTGCGTGTGGTGGGGCAGCATGCAGGCGGGAGCAAAGCTGCTCGGGCCCCCATCCCTGCCAGCAAGGGGTCCCCGCCATGCTGTGATAACAGAGCTGTGGTTTGTTCCTGCAGAAAGTGGGGAAAAATCCTGGCAGGGAAAATGCGAGGCTCAGAGTGCTGATTTGCATGTGCTTGTGGGAACTGGCGAGGTTCTGCCAGAAAGGACTCCGTTTGAAGGGTTCTGCATAGACTTCTCAGGAACTAATTTAAATGATTGCTTAAAATTCCTATTACGGTCCCTCTAGCTAATCATCTTCAGCTATTTTTAAGAGGAGCATTGCAGCTAATAGGTAGCAGTGTCCGTGTGGACAAATTTAGAAGAAGGCAGTGAAATGTATTTCCAAGAAGAGAACAATTATATTAGTAGCTGCAATTATCTAGCGCCTGCCCCCATGCCAGGCGCTGTATTAGCCTCTTTCCTATCTCATTTCCAAGCCTCCTGACGGCGGCCGCGTGGAGGATGGATGGATGAGGGAGCCGGCTGGAGGCACAGGGATGGGATTAGATGGCTGTCGAAACAGTCCAGACCTCCCCTTCCCCACACAAAATACACCAAGTGGAGGATCTGATGTTTGCGAGCATACGGGGCATGGTGAGGAGAAAGGGGGGTAATGGGTAAGGGAGAGGAAAGACTCAAGGATGGTTCCTAGATTTCGGTTTGGGGGACCAGGGCTGATAATTAGTCACTGCTAACTCCGATGGGGGCATCATGGAACTCTCCCAGGGCGCCTGGTCCTAGACTCAAGCCCCGAGCCACCTGGCAGCGGTCCTGGCCCCGGCTCACAACAGTCTCGAATGACCACGGCGCTCGGCGGTCTTGATTCACAGAGTCAGTTCACAGGTTCACAGGAAATCAGGCATCAACCCGTCTGCCTCTGACTTTCCAGAGGGGGAAAGCGGCTGCCTTCGAGAAGGGCCGTAGGTGGCAGCAAAGCTGGGACTGACACCCGCGACTCTGAGGCCAGCTTCTCACCTGCTCACCTGAGAGCACCTTTAGGTCCGTCAGCTGAGCCGAGCGGTTTCCACCTTAGGCTTCGTCGGCCGTCGATGAGCCAGGGGCTCCCTCGTTCACGTGGCTAGTTCCTGCCCCAGAGCACTCTCCCGAAAGTTCGGCCAGCAGCTGCTCCGTTCTCAGCCTGGGGCAGCCTCTTCGCCAGTGATTCGGGCCTGGAGTCTCGGAGTCCTCCCTGACTGTCCTCTCTCTCTCACACCCACGTCCAGTGCATCACCCGTGCCTCTCGGCCCCTTGAACTCGCCCCAGGATACAGCACCTGCTCGCCAGCCCCGCTCCCAGCCAGCCGCCCTCTCCCGGGCTGTTACAGCGCCCCCCCCCCCCCCGCCCTCCCCTGCTCCTGCCTTGCTCGCTACAGCTTAGTCGCAGCTCAGCCGCCCGGGGGACCCTCCAACAAGTCAGTGAGAGCGGGCCACGCCTGCTCGGGACCCTCCAATGGCTCCCCCCATCACTCGTATAAAAACCAGAGTCCTAGAAGGCCCACGACCCAGCCACCCATCACCTCTCTGACCCCAACTCTCACCGCCCCCCTTGTCCGTACGCTGCAGCCACACCGGCCTCCTGCTCTCCCCTCACCGCCTGCCAGCCTTGGTCCGAGTCGGACGTCCCCGTGGTGAGCACGGCCTGACCTCCACCCCCGTGACCTCCTTTACCCTATTTCTCTTTTCACGGTGCTGTCACCAACTGCCACCCACATTGTACTTACAGTTCTTTAGTTCATTTCTTTATTTTGCTTGTTTGCTTGTCCTCCTCCATTAAGACGTATGCTCCAAAGGTAGACATTGTTATCTCTTTTGGACAGTGATGCATCCCAAGTGTCTGGCACATAGTAGGGCCCGGCAGGCGTTTGCTGAATGAACGGATGAACTTGATGAACTTGAGTAACTAGAATCCCCAGCAGGCCCTGAATGGACTCAGGTGGCAACCTAAGGAGTGAGGGAAGCAGGTGTTTCAGAAGCCCGTTGGAATCCCTGAACACGAAGCTGGTTCCTGTACCTCTCTGTGGCAAACCCACCCTAGCTCCCTTCTCTGCCCCCTGACTGTCTGCATTCCAGCCGACCTGAGGGGCAGCCACAGGAATGGTCGTTCTGCCCTTGCTTCATGGTGGTGCCTCCCTGTTTCCTGGCTTTCCCGAGATGTGCCAGTGGTGGGGAAAGGAAACAGAAGCCACTAGAGGACCGATATGCAGGGGAAGACGTTTGTTGTCATTTCAAGAGACTAACAGTCAGTTCCCTGTGAACACAGTTAGGCAAATAGTCTACTGGTTTCCCTTCTAGTGACTTGTTAGGTTTAACCTTTGGAAACATCCTGTCGTGACCAACCATTTAACTTGAAGATCAGTAACCGTGGGGTGATTATAAACAGTCTACTAGGGACCCAGATTTCAACTCTATAAGCTGATAACCTCAAAGCATTGTATAAATGTTTTCATTGTTAAATAAAGTATTTATAGATCAGAGTGACTCTACTATTGGTGAAGTCAGAGCTGGAAAAATCATGGACTTCTACTGTAGAAAGAAACAAGAATTTAGATTAGACGTAAAGCAGGGCATCCAGAGGCTAAAGGTTTCCAACTTCAGTGGCAAAAGGAAACCTTTGAAGCCGCCTCCTTTAGAGAGCTTTAAGTATAAATGATGACGATAGTTCCGCAATGGTAATAACAGCAGTAATAATAGCCACGATGGCAACGCCAACCACGATAACGCCAACCACGATAACGCCAACCACGGTAACGCCAACCTTGGTAACGCCAACCATGATAACGCCAACCATGGAACGCCAACCACGATAACGCCAACCACGGTAACGCCAACCACGGTAACGCCAACCTTGGTAACACCAACCATGGTAACGCCAACCTTGGTAACGCCAACCATGGTAACGCCAACCACGGTAACGCCAACCATGATAACGCCAACCATGGTAACGCCAACCATCATGGGAACAGTGATGCTCATGGTGCTGGCCCTCACTACACGCAGCATTCGCTGACCCACCAACGTGCAGGCACTGGGGAAGTTGCTTCACATACTTCATTTATAATCCTCGTAGGAGCCCCGTGAGGTATAGATCACACTATGCTCATTTCACAGATGAGGAGACCAAAGCTTAGGAGTTAAGATCGTGGCTCAGCGTTGTTCAGCTGGTAAGCTATTCAGGCACTTGGATTTGAATCCACGCTGGTCTGTATCAGCCTCAGACCCTTGCTAGGTGTGACACCGGCTTGGTGGGTGTAATTCAGGCTAGCTGGGTATAATTGATGGCAGCTTTGAGGTTGGATCTAGCCTCAGAGTTTGGTGGGAAGGACTTTGCTTTCAATAACAATGCCCCTTCACTTCTTCCTACCATTTCGGTTGTGGAGAGGCAACGTTCTTGCCCTTCTGTTCTCCCAAATCTCTATCTCACCAGTTAGTACTGCAGTGGCTGCAGGGTTTCATGCCCGGGGAATTGGGAGTGAAGATCTAAGTCCCATGTACCCGCTCGCCCAATTCTGTGTCCATGCACTTGTTCATCGTTTGAACATAGGCACCGCTTGGCCGTTGGCCTGCATACCTTGCACTCTAAATGAGAAGTGCTAATTATTTATTCTCACCAGCCATCGCCTTCCCTGTGGCGGGGGCGGGAAGTGATTGGCTACACAGGCTGTATGAGGGAGAGCCGTAAGAATAGAATCCAGAGCCCGGCACGGGCTTCCAGGCCAGTGAGTCCACAAGTCCCTGCATTGCCGTTGCTGAGACCCTGTTACTGGTTTTCACCCCCATGGTCAGGAAGTTTTTGTCTGCTATACAAATTCTATTTGTTAACTAATAATTGATCTTTCCCCTTTTTCTCTCTTGAGTGTAAGAGATCTCAGAGTTTCTGGTTAGTGTGGGGTAACCAGGGACACCACACTGAGTTGACAGCCCTGACAGAGGAGTGGGGTTTTCATGAACTCAGTTGGGGTTTTCATGAACTCAATGTGCGTTTCATGGTTAAGTGTACAATTCCCACTGGTGGAGGGGAAAGGAATTTCTGGAACTGTACTAGACCTGGCCTGCGTACTTTGCATCATACATTAAACCAGCATTCACAACAACCCTGTAACACATATTCTTTCTCCCAGGAAATCCCCCTCTCCCAGTTCACTGCTCTGACCACTGCACTGCAAAGCCTGTGACTATCACGCATTTTTAAATGTGTCAATTTATTTAAATAATGAGTCAAGAACTGGTAATGTGGCAAGAAAACTGTTTTTGAGTTTTAAGGTAATCTAGAATCTTTATATTCCTTCTGTAGATACATTCTCTTCCCCTTTCCCTGTCCTTCATTTGACGAATTAGCAGCAAACCCCCAAAACAGTGGCTTAAATTGAAAAAGTAGCTGTTTTTTTTCCTATAACAACGAGTCCAGAGGTTGTTGGTATTGGGCCAGTGCAGCAGCTCTACAGTGTCTTCAGAGACCCAGGTTGCTTCTAGCTTTTTACTCTTCCGGTCTTATCCTCAAGTATGCAAGATAGCTGCTGGAACACCAGCCATCACACACATGTTTCAGGCATAAAGAAAGGGAAAAGGGAAGGGCAAAAGGCTTGAGCCATAGAAGTCTTTCCTTTTTAATGGGCTTTCTTGGAAGCTCCTCCCACTTACATTTTATTGTAATGT